ACTATTTTACTTGTTAGGAAGTACAGCCATGTTACTGCCCAGAAGGTGCCCCACAGTGCCTCGTAGCAAGAACCAGCTTTCATCACCACTACTTTGGGCTGGCCCCGCAGTAATAGATTTCACTTGGAGCTAGTTGGAACCACCCTGTATAAGCATGAAGCAAATAAGGCGGCTGTGGACAGCCAGCTGTCTTGCACCTGAAATCCCTCCCTAGCACTCTTTTTCTTTCCAGCATGGATTTCCTTGTTATAATGATTTTTAACTGTATGATTTTATTGGTGTACAGCTTGACAGTACATTTTAAAGTCAGAATGTGGTGGCAGCTTCATTAAATCCAGATAAATGCTGTGTTTGTATTACATGGACACACTTTCAGAAAACCATGGATGAGTGAATCACTGCACCCCTTGCTGAGGTCAGACATTTTGTCTGGAAATGAATTTAATCCAGACTTGAAAGGCTTGACTGGAGTGATCTCTATGTGATAACATAAACAATGTATGGTCAGTTATCACCTCCTTTGTACAAATTCATACATTTCCCAGCAGCTGAAATATGTACTTTTTTTTTAACAACAGATCTTATCTAGGCTTTCTGGAAGATTCTAATCCAAACTCCTACTACAGCTGAAATTTAAAAGTAAACTTGTTCACCTTTATTCTATTGAAGTAGTATGGGAAGAAGAAAAAAAAGAAGTGGTTTTAATAATTTCCATAGAATTCAGAAATGCTGCTCTTTCAAATCTGCAGCTACTTTCACAAATATATTTCAGTAACTTCTACCTTAATAGAAGTTACAGAAATACACTGATTCGGTGTATTTTATACATCAAGTTAATTACATGCTGCTATATCAATTTCAGAATTGTAATTTACTTTGTGATTTCCTTTGCTGTTGCTGAGTAGGAAGAATGAGAGAAGCAAATTTTACTATGTGGCATATTGGTTTTAATCTTGGAGTTATGCGGAAAAGTGAATTTCAGTTTGCAATCAGTCTGACTCAAAGACTTGAACTTTATTCCATATAAAAATCATTGAACTCTTATAAATAAGGACTATAAGAGGCAGTCAAATGTTTTCTCCTTAGTATAAATTTGATTGTCTTTCATTGTTTTGCATTTTGTAGTTTTAAGTTAAAATAAAGAACCATTTACAATGTAATCTACATTAAAAGAGGTATCTGCATTCAAACTTCATGTTTCATTTGTAGTATCTACCATTATTATTTATTATATTTTTTTATGATAAAATAAATATTGTTTCATTGTTTCAAGAATCAGGTTTAATGTCAACACACTGCAGTCAACAGTCAACATTATAATTTGTGGATGTTGCTTAGCTTTGTAGAAGAAGAGACAAAGCATAGCTATACATCATATTAAAAAGAATTTCATATTTTTGCATAAATTTAGACTAAGAAAAAAAAGGAGACAGATAATGTCATTCTTCTTTGTCATTTGTCCAGTATATAAACATATGCAGCTACAAAACTGCAATATCCTAATATCACAATTTCTTAAAGCATTTTTATTCCTTTAAAATTGCCATTGGAATTGTTTCTATGGTAACTTCTGAAACACAGAAAACTATTTTCTGACTTCAGTTCAGCTCATACATCTAATGAGTGGTTCACACTGAGACAGCTATTCTTTCTATTCATCCTAGACTTGCCCCTGTTAGTGGGCAAATTTCTACCAGACACAACAAAAGGAAAAGAAGGCCGGAGGGGGCAGGTTTCTGAGACTACTTAGTTGCTGAACTGCATAAATAGAAAATGAATGAGATTTGCAAAAGTACCTGCAAACTCATAACAAAATTGTCATTGATTCAATAACAGGAATTAAAGTATACAATCCTGTGGTATGTCTTATGAGCTTGTTAATAAAAGGATTTTTGATGCCATAATTGTGACTACTTCTCATGATTTATATTACATAAAACATAATAATCTTTAAAGTCTTTCTGTTGTTAACAATCATTCTGGTGCTGCTTACGGTTTATCCAGTCTCTTTACTTTGTGTATGACATTTCAAATTAGAAAAGAAAAAAAAAGTCAGAACATTATCAGTTATTGATGGAAATGTTGCATCTGACTGTTGCATCAGTCATTAAAATAGTGACTGGCAACAATTCATATGATTGTTAATAGCTGGTGGGATGGAATGCAGTGGAAGTGCAGAATATAATAAAATGAATCTCAGCCAGTCTGGAAGATCTTTGAGAATGGGGTACAGCTTTCCCTATTTTGTACAAAAGTGAACTTTACATAGGACAAGGAGCATTTCTTCTGCCTAGGAATTAAAAAAAAAAAAACCAGATACACTAGCAGCAGTTTGTATAATCTTACATAATGTATTTCATTCACTTCATTGAGGAATTGATTTCATAGCTTAATTAGCAGAGGCAGCTTAAGGGACACCAGTCTATCATATTTACAGATGTTTTTCTCTTGTTGAAACCCAGATTAAACTTGTTAGTTGATCTTCATTTAAATTACAGTTAATTTGCCAAGATACCCATTATGCTCTCAGTATTTAATACAGTATTTAATCCTCACATAAATTTCTGTGAAACTGTGTTTTCCTTTAATTTTCATTAATTTAAGCAGACTTGTGCCACAGCATATGCTCTTTTTATTTTTCAAATATCTGAAAAAAAATTACTAGCAGCAAAAAGGGTGGTAAATTAAGATAGTTGCAGCCAGAGACAGCTTAGATGCCTTGTCACATAGACTCATTTTGTGAATTAGAGAGTAATATGTTTCAGGCATCTGCAGCCACCACAAAGTTCTGTATATACTAATGTTAAACACTTCAGAAGCTAAATTGCTATTACTAAAACTTCTGAAGCTGAAGTAAGTGGCAGTAATGGTGTTGCTACTGAACAGTAACAAACATATCTTGTGGAATTGTGCTAACAAAATTGTTAGCAAATATATCTCAATGTAGTCACAATCTATTTCTTGATGGTCAGGATCAGCACAGAAGCCTTTGAGACTTAGCAGGAACCTTACAAGTAAAAAAGCATTTGAGATAAAAGTTAATGCTATGTTAATTGGTGAGACTTTCTAATACAAATCAACACTGCATTTAGCAAAACATTGTTCACTTATGGATTGCTGAAGTGGAAATTGAGAAAATACAGAAGTGAAAACTGAAAATACTTTGTTTAAATCCCCAGGGCTCAGAATATAATATTGAATTCAATCTTCATACTTTTGGGAGAGGAATCAGTCCTGCAAAATGAATCATGCTGCAAAACACAGTCTTGAAAAGCCTGAACCTGGAAAGATCAGTCTTCCAGCTGGTGTGGGATCAGCCTCCAGTTACTCTTGTTCAGTTTAGAAGTGACTTTGGTGTCTTTATTCCACAAATACTACAATTTAAAATGGGATGAAAAATCAGTGTGACATAAATTAGGAAATGGATCAACAATGATTAAATAAAAAAGGTATTTGATATGTGAAAAGGGAGCTAAATGAGGATGAGAAAAGCCTGTCTGCTACAGTAGCTCAAGAAAACGTTAGCAGGAGATGTTGGAAAGATGAGATCAGCCCACCAATTTCTGAGAAAAGCATTTAGTTTTCAGTGTTTTCCGCTATGGGTATGTCAATAATATAGGTCAGTGGGTCACTTCTGTAATGAAGCATGTATATATGCAGGATTTAGCATCCAGCATGATTAAAGAAAAAAAAAATAAGATTAGAGGTGTCAGAAAACAGCTATAAATTCAGCTCTTTTTAGTTAGACATGCAACTGTCTCCAGCCTGCAGAGGCTGTTCTTAGTCTCCAGAGAATCCTGTACAAATCTCTGCGCCTTTCCTTACGCTTCACTGAAGGGTGCAACGACTGGAACGAGCTAGCTGAGATCAGATGCCTTGCTAAGGCTGCGCAAAGCGGCAACCAACCAGAAAACCGAACTGGATCACTGCAACTTCAGAGCAGTCAAAATACCATTTCTGATGTAAGAAGGGTATACAAAGTACCCCGGTTTGTGAAGCTCTTTAAAACGTGGCACTAATCTCGTAGGCGTTGCACAAGCAGGTTCTCCAGTGTGTGTGCCCCTCGGGGCGTGTAAGAGGGCTGTCGGTAGGGAGGAGAACCCCGTACCCACTATTGGGAATTAGCCTCGGAGAGGACAGCAGGGAAATGCCCTCCTTCTCCCAGTTCTCCTTCAGTAATGCCCAAACCTCTTGTAACAACCCTTCTGATCTGAAAAATTGTTTCAAAGCCGGCAAAGTTACATCTTTAGGCTGCCACAGTCAGATTAGTATAAGACAAGAGGGCAGGTCTCAGGGCATGTCGTCCGGTCGGTACCGAGGTGGGGAGCCCTCTGGCCCGGGGGCACTCCTGACCGCTGTGATGGGAAGCTCGGCGGGCTGGCGGCGGGGGGGCTGGGCTGGGCTCCGCGGGGGGAGGGCGCGGGTGGGGTCGGCTGTGATGGATGGGCCAGATGCGGCTGAATGTTTTAGAAAAGGGGGGGCCCTGCCCCGCCGGCGCGGCTTTAGCCACGGGGTCTGGTGCGCGCTGACGGCCCCCGGGCTCTGCACAAGCGCCTGTCCCTCCCGCCTCCTCGGCGGGGAGCTCCCTGGGAATCGCTGTCGAGAGCGACGGCAGGCCGGCCCGGCGAGGACAGACAGACAGGAAGGGCGCGAGCGCGGCGACAGCCGGCGGAGCGCGTTTCCCTGGCTTGGCCGGCGGGGCGGGGAGGATCGGCTCGGCTCTGCTGGGCGAGGTGAGCGGGAGAGGAGCGGGGCACAGAGCGGGGCGACGCGAGCCGGTCCAGCCGGAGGGGGCTGCTCGCCCCGGCGCTCCCTGCCGGCTGCACCCCCCGCGCTGCCGCCACCGCCCGGGGCAGGCAGCGCCCCGGCTCGGCCCCGGGCGGTGGCGGCGAGCGGCGGGCGCGGTGTCCCCGCAGCTGACGCCCTGTCCCTCTCTCCGCGCAGGTCGGCGCTGACGGCGGCGGGCGGCCGGCGGGGAATCGGCCGTGCCGCGGAGCCATGCCCGCGCCCTCCTCCTCCTCTTGCTGCTCTCAGCTGCCGCGCCCGCCGCCGAGGGCGACGGTTCCCTGCGCCGGCCGGGCCCGGGCAGGCAGAGCGCTCCGGTGCGGGCCGACGCCGCGGCCCCGACGGCCGGGGCCCCGTAGTGCGGGGCGCGAGCACAACTCGTCCCGCCCGGCCGCGCTACCAAGGGCGGGCGGGCGGCTGGAGGGCGGCCTCGCCCTGCCTCGCCCCCCATGTGCACGGGGCAGACGGAGATCAAGGAGACTTTCAAGTACATCAACACGGTGGTGTCCTGCCTGGTCTTCGTCCTGGGCATCATCGGCAACTCCACGCTGCTGCGGATCATCTACAAGAACAAGTGCATGAGGAACGGCCCCAACATTCTTATCGCCAGCCTGGCCTTGGGCGACCTGCTCCACATCATCATCGACATCCCCATCAATGTCTACAAGGTAAGGAGGGGTCGGGGATGGATTCGGGAGCGGGTGCGGGGGTGCGGTGGTCACGGCGCGGGGAGACGCGTCCCTTCCTGTCTAGGAGTCATCCTTGGACTTCGCCTCACGCCAAATACCGCCCGAAGGTGGTATTTTGATCAGATGTTGTCGCAAATGGCACCCTCTCTGTGCCCCAGTCGCATCTCAGCGTTCCAAGCTGGGAATGGGTCAGAATGGGGGTGGCCAGGCTCTGAAAATCCCCTGGAAACAGCTGCTGTCCCAGGGATAAAGAAAATAAATGCGTTTGTCACTTCCTTCTTTTCCCGCAAAGACTGGAGGGGAGACAGAAGCTCCTTTCCTCTGGGTACCGCTCGGTTCCTCCTGCTCAGCTGCTGCAGGCTTGGTCGTGATGCTTCACTTCTGTACAGTCGGTTTTGGCATGGGGGTTTTTCAAAGAAACCAAGATCGTTCAGCTGAGCGGCTTTATGCATCTAGCGGTTGGGAGGTACGATGCTTTTCTGAGCCGTGAACGGTTTCCCCCCTTCGCCAGTGTTGCACCATGGGCAGCCGAAAGGGAGCTTGCTCCTCTTGAACCTTCATTAGTCTGTCCGTTGACGTAATAAGACTTGCCATGGAAGGAGTACAACCCCTGTCTTGTCTACCCAGCTTGTGCAGTCCATTTATCCTTAGGAATAAGTTGGGAAGTTGAATCCAGCCTCTAGCTGCAATCAGTACTCTTGCGAGAGATACTGGAAATAACATAGCTCCTTCTGCTTTGAAAGTTTACAGTCTGGGTCCCTAAGCACCTATCAGTTACTTCATAAAGTGGACAAAATAGCCTTCATCTGTCATCTTCTCTTAGTTTTGTATATGATTGTAAACAGGGAATTGTTATTTTTAGCTTTAGAAAGCCACGTCAAAGGGTTAGGTTTTGAATCCATAATGATTACTCTCAGAAGCTGCTGAAATAGAAGAATCCTTTATCTTCAGTCTTTTAAAGTATTGCAGTATTACAATGCAGGGAATGTCATCACTGTGTTAAATTCATGAACCAGTTAATTTGGATTACATGACAGTTCTTAGATTTGAAGTTCAATGTTTTTTATACTCTACTTTTTACCTATTATATCTTTATTTTTACTGTTTATCTTAGTTCTTGATAGAGGAGTGACTCTTCTCAACGAGGGTGAAAAACAAAAAACCCTTAACATGCTTTAAAAATGTGTTTTTGTAATAACATACACTGAACAAAAAGGTTTTTTTCACCTATTCTCAGAAAAATCAAAAAGATTGTATCAATAACAGCTGCTCAGTACAAGACTTTGCAATCTCAGCGATACTATCTCAAAATTTAATTACTGGTAGCATGCAATAATATACCTCAGTTTTTATCTCGATTGAATGTCATCAAGTATATCATTATGAGTAAGTTGGAGCGGGAGAAATAAAAGGTCAGATTGCAAACCGATAAATATTACACCAGCTGCAAGTCCAGGATTTTTATGGTGCTGTTCATAATGCTAGGGGCTGCACAGTAGTTCTCAGGTTCTAAATCTACCATGCTGCTACTCATCTTAATGAAGAGCCCATAATCAATTTATATTATCCCTTATAATAATGAATTAAATATTTACTGGTTTAAGATAGGACTTTTGAATAAATGTAAGTTTACAAAAACAAACAACCCCTCCCCATTAGATACTATGTTTATTTAATCAAGATTTTGAGGGTGGTTTGAGTTGTTAACTTTTTATTGATTCCACATCCCATTTAATTCCATCCTCAGAGCAATATTTTGAGGGAAAATGCAATCAAAAACTGGCTGTTATCACGCAGCAAAAGCTTGGTTAGTAAATCAAATATGCTTAACAGTTGAAAGTTGCAATTTGAAACCATTTAAGATGGGATGAAACAGATCCAGGGGTAGAATTGCCAGGTCCCCAGTTAGGCAACTGCATGAGAAAGAGAGTGAGAGAATTTCTTGTGTTAATAAAATGCCAGCAGTTCGCTCCACAACACTTGTCCTAGAAAGTGTGAAAGTGTCTGTGAATGCTTTCCAGACAGACCCATAGGACACAATCCAGAATCCACACCAGAAGCAGCTTTTTATTAGGTATTAAAAGTGATAACTGCAAAAGATATCCCCTGTGACTACATAAGTAAATATGTAAGTAGCTGGAAAAAACCACACAAATGAAAATTGATGTCTCTTAAATCAAGCATATCTAAAGAAAAGCAGGTGTTATCTAGATTGTGAGGCAAATGCCGTCCAATGCATAAGATGCTAATTAGCCCATTGCACTTCATAAATTTGAATATCAATCAATACTTTCAGTAGAAAATGGAAAGTATCTGGAATCTGTCACACAGTCAGTCAACTGGGTATGAAATGAGGGCTTGAAGGGTGTTCAGTTCCAGCATGCAGAACCTGGCAGAGCTTTTCAGCATTGGTAAGTGGTTTGGCTTCGGCTGAACCTCCAAACTGCAGAATGGCAAGTAGATGAAAGTCTGAGGCAATCATTCTGCAGTATGTAATGTTGTGGCAGTGTAGATACTTTGCAAGATTGTTACTAATTGGATGTGCAGGTGGTCCTGTGCCTGGTCAACTGCTTCACTAAACAGACTAAGTTAGCATGTCTTTGTTAATTTGAGGCCTTAAACAGCAATTAAGGAGCAGAAGGAAAGAGTAGCTGGTCAGTGAGCTTTTTATGTCCTTCTCTGCACTTAATTTTTGGAAGACAAGACAATGGTGGCTTGTACACCTGACAATACAGGTCTGCAGTTCTGGAAGGCTTATGCTCAGTTTCCCAAGTCAATAAAGCTGCTAAGTGCCGTGTATAAGGCACCAAAACATCAGGACTGAAAATTCCAAACATACATTAGCTTTGTTTCTCATAGACTTAAAAAGCCATAATGAAATAGCACAGAAACATGCTTTCTCTTTTGATACATAAACAACACCTCACTCTCTCATTTTGTGATATTTATTCTCTCATGTTAAATCCAATTTATTGTCATGTCCCATGGATTTTTAACAACAAAAACAACCTATCCTCTGCACATTATTGTGTGGCTTTCTGAACTCTGTCAACTTGCTATGACACAGATGACTAAGCAAAAATATCTACCTGGTAATATTGTCATAGGTTCCTTTTTCTCAGAGCACAATAGAAAAGTGGATAAAAAAATTTCCAGGGAAGTAAAAAAATCTGGTCTTTATCCAAGCTAGTGATCAAAGGCCAGACTCAGCTTTGTAGGCACTGATTTCTTTTCAGTAATGTATTCTAAGGATTACATAAAAATTATGGTTAACACGTAGCATTATCAAGCACTGGAAATACAAGAAAGACCAGATTAGGGACTCTATATCCCATGCAGACACAAACTGGCTCCTTTTTTAATCCAGCAATGCTCTGAAAAAGGCAAGATTTCCATGGAAATTTGTTTGTGATGATCTTACTAACTCTTGTAATGCAATTACCTGCATCATGATAAAGCCAACCCTTGCCTAACTTTCAAAAAAAAAAAAATCAAGGTGCTTGTCTTTAGAAAACGTTGCTAATATTCCATATTAGAACTCTTGGCCACTGGTTCTTTTGATGTTAAAGATAACTGCCATTTAACTGGGAGAAATGCATCATTTCCTTTCTTTCAACCTCTGAACCACTTACTTGGGATCTTGCAAAGTTCATCTCAGAATTTCTTATGCAAAGTTTATTGACATCTGGCCGTATCAAGCTAGAAGTTTGTTTGGTGAACAAGTGCGGTTTATAGGCACTTAAAAAGGATCTGAATTGTCCAGTGGAGGAACCTGTCTGGACTCTGCAGGCAATGGCAAGGTAACTTGGTTCTGTAGTTATGTGGGAACAATCTACTCTGAAGTCAGATATATGGACTACTGGAAATGTCTGAATGTTGTTAAAAGTACACATACGTAGTTTTCATGATGGATCTCCAAACTGAAATAAGTTAGATGATGCTAATATAGATTTGTAAACTTAGGGGAGTAGTTTTTTCATTATGTATACATTTGTTGTGTATACATTCACTTAAAAGATATATGTGACAAATTTGAGAAGTTTTCATCTGATTCGGTTTTTGCTTCTACCCTGTGTTTATATATCCCAATCTGACAGCAGCATGGCTTTCTAAGCGGTTACTTTTGATGCAGTCTGTTCACTGGGGTTGTGAAATTGCAGAAATGTTCTGACAACACATTATGAGGTTTCTGTAATTTTAATCTTCATTAAGTATTTTTAAATGAAGTTTCTAAGCAGAAGTCACTAATAAAAATACAAGAAACTAATTGCATGCCTCCTATTAAGAATTACAGTTTATGGGACTGATATAGTTTATTGGATAGTTAAGTTAACTAGAAAGCGGGAAATACATGTTCTTGTCTAGAGGGAAGATCCTCACCCTAACATAATTATAGCTGAATATTAATAAGTTTTGTAATGCTGTGTGACTTATCCATTACCATAAGCTTAATTTCCTGGGCAAATTTTCTGTTTTGAAAAACGGTCCTATAAAATACTTAAAAATACTTTATCTGCATAAAAATATCAGGTGAAAATTTGCTAGTAATTTCATAGATATATTGAAAAACCGTTGCTTGTGAATTAGGTGCACCACTGCATATCTGATTTCCCTTGTAAGTGTAGTTCATAGTGATGAAAATCACATCCTACTCTCCTGTGAACTGGACTTGCTGTGAGCACACAGCTAGGAGGAAATATAAATTCCTGCCCTGCATTTCCCATGTGCATTCATTGCTCTGGACTAGAACACTGACATAAATATTCGCACGCTTTGCCACTTCTTCCTGCTCAACTGCAGTGGGTCACCAGTTGGAGCCATGGTGTCAGCCTTCTGGCTGGTGACCACGGCAGCTGAGCCCTCAAGAGCAGCGTATTGTGCTTGCATGCTGGTGTGTTCCAGCAGCAGATTGTGAACATCTTTCAGTTCTTACACAACCAAGAGGAAGCAGAGCAGGAATTGTGATTCGCAGGTGTCTCTCTGAGTCACAACATCTCTTGGGGCTACTTTCATAGCTGTGCAGCTTGCGTATCAGTTTAGGCTCAGATCTGTCTGGTCTGAGAAAGTGTTGATTAGGAATGAATCAGAGGTATTGGTTCTTTCAAGTATGATTTCACATAATTTTGAAACTGGAAAAGGTCACTCGGAATATAGCCAGTGGTAGACTTCTCTTGGCATTTTACTGATGAAAACACAACATTATTTTCCTCTTTGCTGCCACTTGGCAGTATCTCATCTCATGGCTCTAAGTTGTTTATCATTTATAAAATGACACTGTTTTTACAACTACCCTATTGTGAATCATAAGAAAATCATTGTACTTATACAAAATTGCAATACACTACATCTGTACTTCACTAAGAATAATTGTTGCTCTTGTCCACAAATGTGATGCTCCTGAATACTTTACATTGGATCTTCACTGTACTTTAAGGCAGTGTTTGGAGGAGATGGCAATACAGAGAACAAACAGAAACCAAGGAAACACAGTTCAGCAATTAAAACATTCTACTTTTTTTTCCTTTTACTTTCTTAATGTTTTCAAGCTTTTGGTGTAAAGCATATCATTAACCATTTGCAATACCATGGTAAACTTGTGACATGCATTAAAATGCTCAAATTTCAAAATCCATCAGCTGCAAGAGATAAAGGACATGTTTTCCCAGTGCACTGCAGCAGCTGCATGTCCATTTTGCCCTGATTTAAGCTGGCTGAATGCAAGTAATATATATAATATTTTGATGTTATGCTAAACCCAGGCATCCTTTCTCTCAGTAGAAGGCGTTCACTCATGTGCCACCCCTTTATAATCCAGCTGCAGGGGTCCCAAACTGGAGCTGGCTCCAATCCAGTCAGCTTGGAGCACAGGTATGACTGTCTGCACCTGAGAGATAAGTTCAGGGAAATCTCCAGCATAGGGCTGAATTGTGATAATCATACTGTGATTTTAGGGAGAAGAGACGGGGAGTGTCTTGCATGTACACCAGCTAGATGTAGATAAAAGTTTTCAACAGAATCTGCCAACAGAGATTTGACCAAGTTCTGAATTTAAATTACAAAGAAAAGAAATATTTTACTTTTGAACTGCTTTTTTAATGAGTCATCTGTCATCTAATATACACACATGTACAAGAGGTACCATAAACAAGTATACAATATACTTGCTATCTAGTCCTTGATTTCTGGAGCAACTAGATGTAATAGGCTGGAGATTCACTGCCTGATTTATATAAATTAAATTAGTTCAGGTGTCATTTGATTCTGTAGAGTGAACATTTAGAACACCTGTAATTATTCACATTGCAGTTTCATAGTGATTGTTACTGTCACCCCCTCACAGCAATTCAGGAGAAGAGTCAGGGAGAGGCTTTGCTGAAAATACTTTAATTGCAGACTGAGTTATTTTCCCACATCACATAAGAAAAAGATACTTTATAGTTATTACAACCTCATCCCTGCTTCTGCTGCTTTATTACTTTCCATAAAATTCTCAAGAAACATAAATCCTTAGAATTTATCTTTCTGGTTCATTTCTACAGAGGCATCATGTTCTTTGTCTTACTTAAGTAGATCATTGAGGAAATAAATCAGAGCTGGGCCATGTTGCAGTTTCTCTGCTATTCTTTTAAACACTCCATCATAGCACAGGGCTAAAGCAGGTATTTGGAGCATTCTGGTATCTGAAAATACTGGTGGGCACTTCACAGATTTCCAAAAGCCCATTGTCATGAAATGTACTTAACTCCCTTGGTGTTCAAATAAAATGAGACTTAAATTATGTCAGGGCTTTTCAAAAAACTCTTGTGGACCATGTAAGTGTTTATCTTTAGATGCACATGTCATTTGTGCGTAAGGACTTTGCTGAACCAAACTGATGTGAGCAGGCAACTCTGTGTCAGTCTTCAGTTACAGAATCATGGAATTGTTAAGGTTGGAAAAGACCCCTAAGACCACTAAGTCCAACCATCAACCTTGCACTACTACATTCTCCACTAAACCATGTCCCCAAGTGCCACATGTACATGTTTTTTGAATGTTTCCCTAGGCAACCTGTTCAAAAGCCTGACAACCCTTTCAGCAAAGAATTTTCTGAATACCCAATCTAAACCTTCCCTGGTGCAACTTGAGGCCACTTCCTCTTCTCCTGTTGCTTCTTACTTGGAGAAGAGACCAACCCCCAACTCACTACGGCCTCCTTTCAGATAGTTGTAGAGAGCAATAAGGTCTCACCGCAGCCTCCTTTTCTCCAGGCTAAACAACCCCAGCTCCCTCACCACTCCTCATATGACTTACTCTCTAGACACTTCACCAGCTCCATTGTCTTTCTCCGGACATGCTCCAGCACCTCAATGTCCTTCTTGTTGTGAGGAGCCCAGAACTTGACATAGGACTCAAGGTGCAGCTTCACCAGGCTGAGTACAGGGGTATGATTAGTGCTCTAGTCCTTCTGATACAAGCCAGGATGCCTTTGGGCTTCTTGACCACCTGGGCATACTGCTGGCTTGTGTTCAGCCAGCTGTTGACCAGCACCCCCATGTCTTTTTCTGCCAGATCCTTCCGACCACTTTCCAGTCAGGTACTGTTCCCCAGGGCTGTAGTGCTGCATGGGGCTGTCCTGTCCTCCCAAGGGCAGGACTTGCCACTTGGTCTTGCGGAACTTCATACAGTTGGCCTTGGCCCATCAATCCAGCCTGTCCAGAATGGTCAGTAGAGCATTCGTACCCTCATTTTGGTACCCAACAAAGTCTATACAGTATGATGAGCTATTTCTTCTTTTCTTACAACACTTTTAAATGAGATGTTTGAAGAGACTTGAGCCAAAGGAAAGATTTTTCAGTCTCTTTTGTGTAGTCATCATTCTTCTTCCCTCTCCTTTTGCATTTTGTAGCCCTCTATCTGCAGCAGACCGAAAAGGCCTCATTTGAAGAAAGTTATGAAAACATAAATGGGCTTAGATTAACTACTTACAGAAACTCAGAAACCTTACTCTTATGTATAACAATTGCATCTCTATTTCTTGGCATAACCCTTGTTTTGGAGAGTCTTGTTTTTATGAGACCTGGAAGATTTGGCTGCTGCTGTGGTGTATTTGAGGCATTAGAGCAGCCCACAGCAGAGTTCAAAGATTAAATATTTCTAAACTGAAGCTGCAGTCAAACAGTCCATAGCATCAGCTGTGAGGAAGGTGCTTCCCATGTCCAGTAAGTCTTATCTCCTAAATCACATAAAATGTGCAGTTGGGTATGTGACAAGATTTCCATTAAAGTGTATGACTCAAAGTGTAATTGAACCCACCTGAAATTCATTGTGCTTTTTTTATTCCATTGCACTTATAGGTATGTCGAATGTGCAGATAGTCCTTTTGGTATTGTTATACAGAATCATTGGAAAACTGGTCAATAAAGATCTTTAGTGAGAGATTCATCTGGTCTGTCTTTACTTGCTGTGAAACATTTAGATCAAACTAGCTGTTTAGGCTCCCTGTGTGTCCAGTGGGCCTCTGTTATCAGAAGATCAGCTAAAAACTATGGGGGATACATTTTCTCTCCACTGTTGCCTGATTTCTCAGCTGATGGAGCCTAGACACTAAGCTTCAAATAAATCCCATCCCAGATGTGCACTTTTTGGCTTTGTCCCTGTTCGGATCAGCCTGAAGTAATTTTCTGTATTTCTAGTAAATGATGAGTTACTTGGAACATGTATGAAAAGCAATGAACACTCAGGGGAGATAAAGCCAATACACATGAGGAAGATCTTCACCTGCCCTGGTGCATCACACTGAGATGATGAAGATAAAAGCAAAAAGAGTGGAGTTTGTGGGCTTAAGAAGTCAGGACTAAGCCTTAATTCATATCCTTGCCCCGCCAAGGAGTAACTGAAGCTACTGTCCAGTTTTTAGAATACACACCTCAGAGAGTCCCTTGTGAAAAGGTTCTTCTTGACTAAGTTTTACATAGAATCATAGAATGGTTTGAGTTGGAAGGGACCTTAAAAGGTCGTATAGTTCCAATGCTCTGCCATGGGCAGGAACATCTTCCACTAGACCAGGTTGCTCAATGGCCTCTCTAACCTGGTTTTGAACACTTCCAGGAATGGGGCATCCACAATATCTCTGAACAACCTGTTCCAGTGCCTTACCACCCTCACAGTAAAGAATTTCTTCCTAATATCTAACCTAAACCTACCCTCATAGTTTAAAGCCATTCCCCCTTATCCCATCACTACATGCCCTTATCCAAAGTCCCTCCACAGCCTTCTTTCAGTCCCCCTTTAGGTACAGAAAAGTTGCTACAAGGTCTCCCCACAGTCTTCTCTTCTCCAGTCTGAACAAAGCCAACTCAGTGTGTCTTCATAGGGCAAAACATGGTGGAAAAGAAAAACAGTCTAGACAAAACTCCATGTTTCAGTTTGGGGATTTTTTTTATTTTTTATTATTTCACCTTTAATTGTTGTTTTCTTTTCACAGCTGCTTGCAGAGGACTGGCCCTTTGGTGTGGAAATGTGCAAATTAGTACCTTTCATTCAAAAGGCATCAGTTGGCATCACAGTGTTGAGTTTGTGTGCCCTCAGTATAGATAGGTGAGACCCATTTTTCATCAAACTCTATAATTTCCTTTCTATATGGGCACTGGCTTGTATTCACCTTTCCACTCAGCTGATATAATAGAAGATGAGTTTAAGCCATTAAATCAGGTGGGGTTTCTCATATTTTTAATTTGTAAATGTGTGCTGTTGCTTCAGGTACCGAGCAGTTGCTTCTTGGAGTCGCATTAAAGGAATTGGAGTGCCGAAGTGGACTGCTGTTGAAATTGTACTGATCTGGATTATATCAGTGATACTGGCTGTTCCAGAAGCTATTGCATTTGACATGATTACGATGGAGTATAGAGGAAAGGATCTTAGAATCTGCTTGCTCCACCCCACACAGAAAACATCCTTTATGATGGTAATACACTGACATTTATAAAATTTCTGGAGCAGTTCCTTGGATCTTCTCAGTGTTGTGTGGATTGTAATGTGCACAGGTGTATGTGACATGTAGGTGAATATAATGCTTAAATGAAATACTGACATTTCTGAAGTATAATGGTTAAAAAAAGAGCATTCATATGAAATACTGTCATTTCTTAAATATATTGGTTTAAAAAGAGCATTCAGAAACGTTTGACTTTTTGTGAACTTTGAACCTGTTGTCCTGTTTTCTCATCTGTAATGTACACCTTACAGAGATGCTTTTCAGGACAGACTGATGAACTAGTTGTAGCACACTTAGCAAAATGCTCAGCATTCAACTCCTAACAATGTTTTTGCTTTGGTTCTTTTTCATTTTAGTTTTACAAGCAAGCTAAAGACTGGTGGCTGTTCAGCTTTTACTTCTGTTTGCCACTGGCTATCACAGCGTTTTTCTATACTCTCATGACTTGTGAGATGTTACGAAAGAAAAGTGGGATGCAGATTGCTTTAAATGACCACTTAAAACAGGTAAACATTTATCCCTGACAACTCTGCTGACTGTAGACAGGATAACAATAACACCTTTACTGACTTTACTGACACATCATTTTTCTCTTCCTGTATAATTACTAGTAAAGAGAAGTTTCCTAGTAGTGGTGCTGCTGAACTCATATACATGTGTATGCATCAGAGCCCTCAGAAACCTAAGATTTTAACTGATAGTTACAGGATTTGTTCTTTCTTGTTTGGTTTTAATGCTTCAGGTTTTATAGTTTTTATTTCTTCTTTACAATAATTAGAGCTGAGTATTTTGTAATGCAAACTGAAGGTATGCTATAGTCTAGAAGATGGTGCTATGAAACTGTTAATTATTTTGAAGCATGTTCTTGCTAAACTCTAGTGAGGTTAGCAGTAAATGTTAACAGAACAAAACACATTCCAGCATACATTCCAAGTTATTAGTGCATCAGACACAAACATCATACATCACTAGAATTAAACTACAGTTGTACTATAATGCATAAATATGCTCTTTTCCTCTTACCTTGTTAAAACTGTAATTGAAATCTCTTGGGGCATTTAAAATAAGACCTGAGATCAAAGCACAAGAAAATGCAATTGAAAGCAAACTGGTATTTGAAAGTGATTGGGAAGACAAATATGTTCCTAATTTTAATTTAAATCACTGTTTTCATGACCTTGGTTTTTCATATTATTACTCATACTTTTTGAAGTAAGAGATACAGTGAATCAGTGCAAGACATCTAAAACAATAGAAAAGATTAAGTACATATTCCAAGAAAATAAGGTATTTGATGTTCTCGTAACTCCTGTTTTGATAAGCTTTTTTATCTTGTTTATTAAACATTTGGATATTAGAAAACAACAATCCAGAGAGAATCAGAAACTATAACACTATTCTGTCCAATTTTCTTTCTCAGAGACGTGAGGTGGCCAAAACTGTGTTCTGTCTGGTACTTGTTTTTGCCTTGTGTTGGCTTCCACTTCACTTAAGCAGAATATTAAAACTCACTATTTATGATCAGAAGGACCCCAACAGATGTGAACTTTTAAGGTGAGACTGCAAAAATAAAATGCTTAAACACGCTGGCATTCTCCATATGCGTATCTGGATTTCCTAATGAACTAACTTAGTTCTGTGTTAGTTCTGAAGTTGTCCCTGCTTCTTCGTCCAGGACCCTCTGCTTTCACTCCAGTAGCAGAGAAAGAAAGTTGTGAGAAATGCCCTCACTTTTCCCTGTCTTACTCCTGATCCTTTTTGGGACTGTACTACTGTCTTGAGAGTAGAAGAGAGATTTCTGTCCCTGTTTTCCCTTTCAACAGAACAGCTAGGATTCAGTTTGTGCAGAAAAACTTCATGAACATTTTCTTCCACAAATTAAGGTGGTTGGATCTTCTGAATTTACTTTCATGAGAACAGTCTACTGATTCAGACTTTAATGTTGACCACAACTGTGTTCACCATGAGCTAATCCTGCTGATTTAAGACTCCTTACTATTACATTTAATAGTTAATCTTGATTGAGTGAAGCTGAGACCAATTTTCATAGTTGTAAACCTCTACTAAGCTTTTTAAGAGAAGTGTCTCACTTTAATTTCCACACAGCTTTTTTCTTGTGATGGACTACATCGGTATTAACATGGCTTCACTGAATTCCTGCATCAATCCAATAGCCCTGTATTTGGTGAGCAAAAGATTCCAAAACTGCTTTAAGGTAAGAGGCTGTTGGGAGCTGCTCCTTTTGTTAAAATATGATGTCAACAGTAAAATTCATTCCCTAACATGAACAGACTGTTTCAAATGGTCATTAAATTTGACTTGAAATTTTAACTGGGTTGTGGTAAGTGTTCTCTCCCTGTCCTGCTGAAGCTACATAGAAAGGAATTAAGGTTTAATGGGAACAAAAAGAGAAAGCAAAAGAGCAGAGTGTATAATAAACCCTCTCAGCACCATGCTAATCAGTGCTACATCACTTCCTGACTGAAGCTGGCACTCAGCCACTTCCAGAACACTGACAAAGCAGACTCAGACCGCGCTGCAGAGATTCACGTAGCCATATCCTCTGCAACCCATTTGGGAGGGCATTGACCCTGGGTTCCCCCCTCCTGCCTGAGCACTTAAATCAGTTTTGTAAGGCAGAGGGTGCGAGTATCCACTCATCCCTTTGCAATGCCAACATTTTATGAGACAGACCTGTTCACAGTTTTGCCCTGGTCTGACTAAATATACCCGGGCACTAATTCTCCATGCAGTATTTGAGGCTCTAGATTGCACGTGGACCTTTAGCCTTCATGTCTGCTTGGAAAATGACCAGATTTGGACTTTTTTGTGGCCTCTTACCATCTTCAGACATTGTATCAGAGTTTTTACATTGACAAATTCTCGGATTTTTCTTTTCTTGACAAACATTTAACCACTCACCACTGCCAGGTTTATTGCCTGGCTGTGTAAATTCCTTACTGGCTATATCTTTCAACCAGAAGCTAGCCAGCCCTACATCTAATAATGTTAATGTATTTCCCTCATAATTGTGATAGCACATGTTGCAGATGTTTTAGTGTTGGTCTTGTCTTCCCTCTCTATGCTGCTGGCTCTCTGAAAGAGTCACTGGAGCTGAGAGCATGTAAGAGGTCTCTAGCATCCTGAGTGTGGAAGTAAGTGGGTGTGAGGAATACTTCCAGCACCCAAAGACCAGAGAGTAGCATCAAAGGTCATTAAAAGTTCTGCAAGTACACCTAGTAAATGTATGAATTTATGTAGATTTTCACCATTCTTCTACTTTTCGTTTTTGCACCTCAAAAAATAAGCTAAATATCTTGCTTAGAAAGTATAGATGCGCATACATTTTTTTCCCGAGAAAGATTATCAAAGAAAGGACAACAAGGAGTCTTAATTTTATTTTCAGGTGCATTTAGAATTGCAGACCAGATTTGAAAGGGTACGTGTGTGGCTGCTATCAGGTATAACTCAGTATAACTCCTCCTGCTCTCCAGCACTCAAGTTGCTAATGGGGCATCCCAGTAGTTAGTAGTGGCCATTTGAGCAACTCAGAGATTAACCCCATTTCTTTGCTTACACTGTAATCCCAAAACAGCAGCTTGTACATTTGCCATTTCCTACTGTACCCCTGAAGAAGGGCAGCTTTTCAGTGCAGTTTGCCACACGTGCAAAACAAAGTGATGTAATATGTTTATTCCTTTTGTTTTAACAGTCATGCTTGTGTTGCTGGTGCCAATCTAAAGATCTGTTGTCCCTGGAGGAAAGGCAGTCCTGTTTAAAGTTCAAAGCTAATGATCACGGATATGATAATTTCCGCTCCAGTAACAAGTACAGCTCTTCATAAAACAAGCATAAAAGATATATTCTCTTACATTAAAGTTGGTGCCTTTTTAAGTAAAAGTGGCAATTACTTTTAACAAGATGGTAATGTTCAGAAATATATAGTTTTGTATTTGCACAAAAAGAGAGCATGAAAAAAATTGCCCTAAAATTGTGTCACATTGAAAATCACGGACATTTATAAAATCGTCATTTATGGAACGCGAAGAAAAGCATAGAAAGAAGGAGTCATTGTTAGCACTTGAATACTTCTGAATCAGCACTTCCAAATGATCCCCACTTCCTGTACATTAAACGGTCATTTGTATTCTCTGTAACAGTTATAGGAACTGAAGTCACAGTAATTACTAAATAGTATAATATAAAGTTAATTGGATCAAAGCCATTATTATATATAACTCAATGTATTATCTTTTATAAAGCAGATTAACCACCATCACTATTGTGAGTTTTTTTTTAAAAAGCATTAAATATTTTTTAATAGATGTTTAAATGTAAAAAAAAGTAGAATTTTTATCAGGGATTCTATAGAGATAGCTACTGAAAATATTAAAGGATGCAGTGAAGTCAAAAGTGCATTTTACATTGATGGTTGTTTTTACCTATTATTGTTAGAAGGAACCTCCCAGGGATTCTCTAAATACCATTCTGTAACCACTGTGCATGTTTAGGGCATTTGGCAGCACTGTGGGTGTGAGTATTTGTGTTTACTCATAGCAAAAGAGAGAAAAACACACCAAAACCAAAAAATTGTAACTACTAGAAACATACAAACAATGGCTGATATTTCAGCTATTTTTAGCTGAAAACAAATTGATTGTATTCCATGTAAAAAGTGGGCATTTGAGAGCCTGATGGTTCTTTACTGGAGATACTTTTACAACAATTTACAACTGTTTTTGCAATCCAAATACTGTCTTGGGGAAAAATGCTTTAGAAAGATCAGGTGGAAAAAAATTTAACCAAGGAAAACAGAGAGAGAATTGGAACTGCTATTTTCATTTAGATTTAAATCTTAATAAAGAAAATAATTCATGAACTGTACTTCTAGAGAACAGTACTATGTAGCATGCTCATCTTCATACTGTTTTAAAATATGTTCTACTTCTCTAGTTCCATATTTATGGCTTAAGAAGACGTGTGATTAGTTTCTGCATCTGTAAATAGTTTAGAGAAACATAATTAATTGTAAAGTATTAAGATATGGGCAGGACCCTGTAAGAAAACAGAAAGATAAAGATACCTGTCGTAAACATGGTGTGTGTTGCCAGGAGCAATGCACATTTTGTACATACGTGACAGGTCATTCTTTGGCTTTTTGTTTCCTATTAATTTGTTACAGATGTCCCCAAAGACTTATTAATGTATTTCATGCACTAAAGCATGAGTTTTTCAGGAAAAATTGTCATACAACGTGCTTTTATAAAATACATGTTTTCAATAGGCTTGGTATTTTATTATAATACAAATATTTATCAAAACTCAGGAACTTTTTTATTTTAAATTTCCAAATTTCTCATGTAAGGATTTTTACCTTGTTTTCCAATTTTGATTAACTCCAGATTTTTTAATAAAGTGCTTTAAATATGCTCTGCATGAAAACAGCTTTCATTAAAATGTTCAACTGATGATATTAACTTAGGTGATTTTCTGACTTTAGGTAGCTACAGCTACCTTGCAGACAGCTTATAACGGGGGAGGTGAACCCCAGTTGTGGTGTTGCCCCCATCAAAAGCTAGTAAGTGTATGCTTGTATAATCAAGCTGAGGAGAACCTATGCACATGCATTTGACCATGGGCACATGGGTGTGTGGGTGTGGGTGTGTGAGTATTGTGTGCAAGCATGTATGTTGTTTACCATTAGGTTGCTGTTACCACCTTTCTGCAGCAAATGCACTCAACTGCTATAATGCTGAACTTTTATAAATATAATTCTATTCTAAGGTTTGTTCTTTACATTTTTACCTTAACTTTCATGGTAACTTTCTCACAGTAAGCTGTGAATATTACTTCACTTCACCCTACCTGCATCTATTTCTGTGAAATGCATTTCATCTGTTAAGGATGGATAATCAGTTAAATCCTAAGTTTGATACTGATCAGTGTTATTTTCATCAAATTATATCGTTACAATATTGTACATTTATATTATTGTTATTTTTATTTAAAATATAGCTGTTCTATTGGCAATTGTGTAACATACTTTTCATTTTTTCCTGGACTAATTCTTAGTTAAGACAAGTCCTGCTAAGTCAGATATTTAGGTTTTGCAAATAAAGACAATATATACTGCCCCCTTTAATATACAAATGAAATATACAAATATTAGTGCACTTTTTGTCCTTTTTTCAGTATTATTCAAAGCAGTATTTTTAGTGACATTCTCATTTCCCCTAATGAAAAATTTCAAAACTTCTGCTCCTATACAGTTCTAGCTAAGATTAAATATCTTAATACTCAATACAGGTGTTTTCTGAAATCCTCAGTATAGGTCTATGCCTCCATTCACTGAAATCACTGAATGTTTAACCATTCAATTCAGCTGGAGCAGAACTAGGGACATGGAACATAGCTCTTGGAAAAACCTAGCTGACATTTGCTACCCTGAACTAAAAAAAGCTACTTTTTTTTTAAGGAGTTGATTAGGAAAGGTGGGAAAAGAGGGTAAAATAAGCTTGTGGGGTAAAACACCCAGTCTAAGGCTCTCTAAGCCCCAAACAGGGGTAGCATAACAACTGCAGAGAGGCACAGCCTTCTTTATAGGAGTTTGATGTGCTTGCAGAGAGTGGTATGACAGAGTAAGAGTCATCTGTCCCAGTGGTCTGATGAGTTGATACAGAATGGCTCAAGATGAAAAAAACTTGCAAGAAACTACATCACAACTCTGGGTTTTGGCCTTCAGAGAGTAGTTTGATTTTAGTTCCCCAGCTGCTCTGAATTCTGCCTAAACTGAATGGAAACACTGGTACTACAACTCAGAGAATCAAATGCAAAATTTGACAGTTACGGAGCATCTGCTGTGAGCTGTGACATTTCAGTGTCCCAAACAGCTCTTAATCAACACATAAGTGGCTTAGCAAGAAAATGTCATATGAACTGAAATAATGTTTAAAGGATCTTTTAATACTGTTCTGTATAGCTGTGTAAAATAATTCTATATTTCATTTTCTGTGTTCACTTAAAATAGGAACTTCTGTGGTTCAGGCAGTGTAAACATACTAAATTACCAATAAAATATTTGTAGTTTTGATTCATTACAAAAAGATGTCTGGCCTTTTTTCTTCTGGGGGGTCTCAATTATTAAAAAGTAACAGAGATATAAAAAGAAGTAAGCAATTCAGAACTAAATATCAAAGCTTTTGAGGGGGATGGTTTTATATAGCTAGTTGAAAAGAGTTCAGACTTGCATATGCATTGCAAAATTGTCCGATGTTTATTGGAACAGTCGTGCTTATCTTTGCTCTGTTTGTTTTTGCACAAAATGTCCATCTCAGTCTCTTCTCTACACACCCATATATAGTCACAAATTCTCTTATGTTAGGGACATCACAAATAAAAGTCACTAAGCTTTTAGTTCATTAATTTAGAAGTGTATGCACTCTATGGTGGAATATGCCATTTGAAAAGCATCATACCTTTGTATGCTGACAGTGTAATTTTGTGCATATTTTCATTTACCTTTCTTAAAGCAGTGGAAAACAGTATCAGACTAAATATGCTGTAACTGGTCAAATATATAACTAGATGTTTGCAGTGTCTGTACATCCCAAAATGTGTTTGATACCACTGCTGTTTTGCTCCTAATAGTTAGGTTTCCTTCTCTTTACTTGGTGGCCTGTTGCATCCATGTAGATTTGTCTTTTTTCGTGGTCCCAGCACCTTTAGCACATAGTTTCAAGTTTCCCTGTGCTTGGAACAGAAGCACCTGTAGAAAGGAGATACCTTGCAAGTAAATGTTCTACTTAATATCTCTCCTGGCCTCTTCACTTCCTTTCCCTTTATCCTGTCCTATGGTCCAAGGTCTTCACCAACCACTCACTATGAAGAAGCATTTTTTGCATATTTCTTTGAAGATCCTACAGCCTTCTACAGGTAGGCCATAGTCTTCACAGCCCAGCTAACTTTTTATCTACTGTGGTCTTGGCTCTTTCACTGGGGAGATTAACTGCAGCTTGTTGACAGTTTCCTAAACACACTAGAACTTTCCCAGCAACATGCATATACATGTAGCTTATGTTCTTCAAACACTGGCTCGCTCTGACCCCTCCTGAGAAGGGCAGATTTGGCACTTTGGTGTTGGTGGAGCAGGATGGTCCAACTGGCAACCTGTGCCTGGGTCTGGTCCATAGAGTGGTTCACTTTTTACTGCACTCTTCTGCAGCCTGCTGCTCTGACCACTGGGTTCTTGGAGTCTGCTCAAGAAGGCCCGAGAGTTCTCCATGTACATGCTGTGCACCTCTGTTTAAATTTCTAAGCCAAGTTGCTGAACGCATTAGAAGACCAAAGGAAACAGAAGGACTCAAGATTAGCCTTATATGTTCTGCTGGTCATTTTTCTTCTCAGTCAGCAGTGGTAAGAGTACTGTGTTATATAACAGCAGTAGTCACATGATTTACTGGATTGCAATTGCTAGCTTAAAAACATTAAATAAACCCCTGACATCTGTTTGGTCTTGCCAGTTTTTTTAATATACTCTCATTTATCTGTGAAGGAGGTCCCAAAGATCACCCTTACCAATGAAAGGGCACAGGCCCCACCCAGTCCTCTTTCATTCTCTTGAAAAATAAAACTATCAGCAAGAAAAATCTACTGTAATAAAAAGTAAAACCTTCAGAAATTACACCTTAGTAATCAGTATCCTAAATCTTCATGAAATCTTTGTGACAATCCAAGGGTGTCCTGATTGTGGGAGGTAGTATCTGAAAGGAATTTTAAAGTATGACGTGGCAAGTAGTCAGGTCATACACCTCAGCACGAGGCTATGAATGTTGTGGCATGTAAGGCCTGCATCAAAATTTTTCAAAACAGTAATATGGAAAACACATCAATACTTAGATTATACCCATCAGTGGATATCTACAACTCTGACTTCAGTATTGCCATAAAACTTCACATCCCCTATAGTCAACCTAGAGGAGTGCCCTGGAAAAAAGTGGGAGTCAAATCCTGAAACCCAGTAAAACCTGAAACACTGATAAAAAATTAGGGCAACCATACTTTCTTCGCAAGCCACATCCTCCAGAAATCGCTTCTACTGGTTTTGCTCTTGGGTGAGCGGAATGGGGGGAAGCATTTGTTGCCATTTTACTTTTTCATGACCTTCATTTCCCAGTTTGTGTGAGTCGCTCATAAGTCTATTTACCCTGAAGAAACAGATCAGTGGTGAAACCCAGGCAGTCAATGGGTCTCATTTGAAGCTTTTAGGAAAAAGGTTGATGA